CAGTTCCTAACAAATACAAAGTTGGCTCTGATATCACTGTTGAAAATTTACTTAAACATGCACAGCGGAAATAAACAGTTTCAATTTCCACTAGAATTCATCTTTGTATTTAGATAAGAACTGTGATAAGAAATATACATTTTCTTGATTTAGCAAACTCCTTCGCGTTATTCCTTTCCAGCAGTTTGAATCTGCCTCCCACAGCTGTTCAATTGTCCAGCCTCCAATGAAATCCACACAGAGAATAGACTGCAACTGCTAGGGTTTTCCTCTTGTGCCAGCAAGAATAATGAAAATCCCATGTATCTCAAACCCTAGTCATGTATTTATACAAACCCAAACGGGCTCGGCCAGGTCCGGTCCATTGTTTAATTAATCCATTTAATTAAACCCGGTCCATGAATTAATCAATCCAATTAATTAATTCGGGAATATAAATAACAAATCCAATTAATTAATTTATTCAACGATTGTTAAATTAATCAATTGGGAATTTGCAACCTATCAATTCTCTTTTGTGTGCGACCCATTAGATTCCCGACCACGATGCCTAACGACGTGAAATATTATTTTGATCTAATCAAAACTGATAAATTAAACACTCTTTTAATTTATCACAGATTCACACTCGTCGTCCCAGATTGACATCTAACAATGTATCAGGGCAACACATGTGACGGGAAATATCACGTGGTATGACAAAACCAAAACTGTTCGTTTACCATGAAATTATAATCCCTTCGTCAATATGATCCGATCAACTACGAGATATGGAAGTGTGTCAATCTCGATTATCGATCATATCTTTCATTCTTCTATTAAGTCAATATGAGTCGAAAACTCTTTTCGACTTATATGTACACCTTGGCCAAGGATTTCGTTATTGACTTAATTGAATGAAATGCAGATAACAATCTCTTACTATCTAAGAGTGACAAATCTTCTATTGATCATTCACAATCTTCATATGGTTCTTGACATACCCGAACGATGTCGTATTAGTGGCCCTTGGCAGAGCAACATCCAACACCGTCAAAATATGACTGTCCTCATATAAGGTACTATGATGACCTCAAGTTGTAGGACCAATTTCATTACCAAACGTTAGAGATTAATCACTGACACTCAGATAGTTATCCATGTGGAATCTCTTAGCGGGTCTCCAATGTTTTGTTCTATAACAAAACATCCACGTGTTCATTTAAGCGTCACCACACTTTAACTCGTGAGATCAGCTACTTACTTCACAAGTAAGAAATGTCACACATAATGGTCTAACTGCATTAACGATATCCGTATCTCGTTATTACTTACGACCACGATTTATTCAAGATCCAATTATATGTAATTTGTATCTCACAATAACAACTCCTTGTGATTAACAAATCACTTAAAATTGGATCTTCGAATTCTATTATTTAATATTATTTATCACAAAATTAATTTAAATAAATAATAGATCTCGCCAAAATCAAATGCATTAAACATATTAAAAGCGTTTACAACCTAAATCGATTGGATCTAGGGCATAACACTTACAAACTCCCACTTGCACTAGATCCAATCACTCATGTATCTAATACCATAAGCATCCACATGACGATCATGTTTCTGTTGTGACAACGGCTTTGTCAGTGGATCTGCAATATTATCATCTGTGGGAACCCGCTCTATCGTTACGTCATTTCTTTGTATAATCTTCCTCATGAGATGATATCGCCTTAGCACATGTTTGGATCGTTGATGAGACCTCGGTTCCTTCGGTTGCGCAATGGCTCCACTGTTATCACAATACAAAGGTATGGGATCAACAATGCTAGGAACGACTCCAAGTTCATTAATGAACTTCTTGATCCACACAGCTTCCTTTGCTGCTTCAGAAGCAGCTATGTATTCGGCTTCTCTTGTTGAATCAGCGGTTGTCTCCTGTTTGGAACTTTTCCAACTAACCGCTCCATTGTTGAGAGTAAACATATATCCTGACTGAGACTTGTTATCATCTTTATCGGTTTGAAAACTAGCATCAGTATACCCATGAATTTTCAATTCATTTTCTCCATAGATCAAGAACACATCTTTAGTCCTTCTTAAGTACTTAAGAATATTCTTAACCGCTATCCATTGTTTCTCATCAGGGTTTGCTTGAAACCTGCTCGTAACACTTAGAGCATATGAAACATCTGGTCTTGTACATAGCATCGCATACATGATAGATCCTATCGCCGAAGCATAAGGAATCTTATCCATGCGAATCCTTTCATCATGTGCTTTAGGACACATATCTTTTGAGAGGTAAATCCCATGCGACATGGGACATAATCCTCTTTTAGACTCTTCCATATTAAATCTTCTCAAGATTTTATCTATGTATGAAGATTGGGATAAGCCTAGTAATCTTTTAGATCTATCTCTATAGATCTTGATTCCCAAGATATGCACTGCTTCTCCCATATCTTTCATGGAAAAATTCTTTGACAACCATAATTTTACCGATTGAAGTATTGGGATGTCGTTTCCCATTAATAATATGTCATTGACATATAATATCAGAAATACGACCGCGCTCCCACTTGTTTTCTTATAAACACACGGTTCATCTTCATTTTTGATAAAATCAAATCTTTTGATTGTTTCATCAAAACGAAGATTTCAGCTCCTAGAGGCTTGCTTTAATCCATAAATGGATCGATTTAGCTTACATACTTTGTTGGCTCCTTTGGATTCAAAACCTTCAGGCTGTATCATGTACACCTCCTCTTGTAAGTTTCCATTAAGGAAAGCAGTTTTGACATCCATTTTTCATATCTCATAATCATGGTATGCAGCTATTGCAAGCAAAATCCGAATGGACTTTAGCATGGCTACAGGCGAAAAAGTTTCATCAAAGTCAATACCTTGTCTTTGTGTGTAATCCTTCGCTACTAGCCTTGCTTTGTACGTGTGGACGTTTCCATCCATATCGACCTTTTTCTTGTAAGCTCATTTACAACCTATCGGTTTTATCCCACCTGGAAGGTCGACCAAGGTCCAAACCTTGTTCTCATACATTGAGTCCATTTCAGATTCCATGGCATCTTGCCATCTCTTCGAATCAACATTTGACTTTGCCTCTGCGTAATTTGTAGGTTCATCATCCTCGACTAATAATACTTGATTAGTAATCGTGAATTCGTACCTTCTGGGAGGTCGAATGATCCTACTCGATTTACGCTGAGCTGGAGTGTCCTCAGGGTTCTCTACATCCTGATCAAGAGTTTGTCCATCAACAGGTGTAGGATCTGACTTAAGTTCATCTAATTGGTCAACAGTATCTGTGGATTCTTGAACTTCTTCAAGTTCTAGTTTGCTCCCACTACCCTCTCCTAGAATAAACTCTTTCTCTAGGAATATGACATGCCTTGAGATGAACACCTTCTTCTCAACAGGATTATAAAACTGATATCCAATTGCCTCTTTTGGATATCCCACAAATACACATTTGTCAGATTTAGCCTCAAGGTTATCTGATTCATTTCGCTTCACATAGGCGTCACAGCCCCAAACTTTCATATGAGATAAGTTTGGCCTTTTTCCTCTCCATAGCTCGTATGGAGTTTTGTTGACCGATTTAGATGGGACACGATTAAGTGTGTAGCACGCAGCAATTAGTGCATGATCCCAAAATGATTTTGGGATGTTTGCATGGCTCATCATAGATCGCACCATGTCTAACAAAGTGCGATTCCTCCGTTTAGACACACCATTATGTTGCAGTGTATATGGCGGAGTCCACTGCGAGAGAATCTCATTCTCTTTAAGATAATCTAAAAATTCTTCCTTTAAATATTCTCCATCTCGATCTGATCGCAGCGTGAGTATATTTTTACCAGTTTATTTCTCTACTTCAAGTTTGAATTCCTTGAACTTTTCAAGTGCTTCATGCTTGAATTTCATCAGATACACATAGCCATATCTAGAATGATCATCAGTGAATATGATGAAGTAAGAGAAACCACATCTGGCAGTTATTGACATGGGTCCACATACATCAGTATGTATTAGTTCCAGCAGTTCTGTGGTTCTTTCTCCTT